ATGCGGCGGGACTTACGCAACTTCAATACTGCTCGTATTGAAGAAGTGATCGAGCGGAATCAAGGCTCCAAAGTCTTTGCCAGAGATCTGTCTGCCAGAAAGAGCCAACTTTCAAAGCTGAAGACAGAGTGTGGCAGCATCGTTTCCGGGACACCTGAGATTTTGAGTGAGATTGAGATGTTCTATGGGCAGCTGTACACGTCATCGTTGGAGCCACACGCAAGTGTGAGTAACGATCCAAGAGCCAGTCTTATCCGAAACTATTCTGAAGATATCCCGGACGTCAGTCTGAACGAGATTAGAATGGCTTTACAGCACCTCAAAAACGGCAAGGCCCCAGGCGAGGAAGGAATTACAGCGGAGCTTCTGAAAGCGGGTGGAAGACCGGTACTTGAAGTCCTTTAGAAGCTCTTTAATTCCGTCCTCCACGGTGGCGTTACTCCGGAGTCGTTGAGCAGAAATGCGGTGGTCTTGTTCTTCAAGAAAGGTGACAACGCTCTCTTGAAGAACTACAGACCGACTTCCCTTCTGAGCCGCGTCTACGCGCTGTTTTCGAGAGTCATTACGAATCGTCTCGCGCGCAGACTTGACGACTTCTAGCCTCCCGAACAAGCCGATTTCCGAAAGGGCTTTAGCACCATAGACCACATACATACCCTTCGGCAAATTGTACAGAAGTCCGAGGAGTACAATTTGCCACTATGTCTGGCGTATGTGGACTATGAGAAAGCCTTTGATTCCGTCGAAATTTGGGCAGTGCTGCAGTCCCTTCAGCGGTGCCAAGATTACTGTCGGCATATCGAAGTGCTTCAGCAGTGTTTGTACAGTAGAGCTACGATGGCTATCCGAGTATAGGACCAGAGTACGAAACCTATGCAGCTGCAGAGAGGTGTAAGACAGGGTGATGTAACATCCCCGAAACTCTTCACCGCTGCATTGGAAGACGTTTTCAAGCTTCTGGGCTGGAAAGGATACGGTATTTACAACAATGGCGAGTACATCACTTACCTTCGATTTGCCGACGATATAGTCCTTATGGCAGAATCGCTGGAGGATAGTGTTTCCCAGCGAATAGGTCTTAAACATGATCTTTATTTTGTCCATATGAATATGGACAAAATAAAGATCATGTTTAATGTCCATGTCACACCTATGCCGGTAGTTGTTGGGAGCACTAAGCTCGAAGTTGTTGATGAGTATGTTTACCTGGGACAAATAGTCCGACTAAGTAAGTCCAACTTCGACCGAGAGGTCAATCAACGGATTCAACTCGGCTCGGCAGCGTTCGGGAAACTACGACACATCTTCTCGTCAGACATACCTCAAAACCCTAAAACGAAATTGTACAACCAGTGCGTGTTTCCAGTGATGACTTACGGATTTGAGACTTGGTCCTTCACTGCTGGCCGTATGAGGAAGCTCAAGGTCGCTCAGCGAATTATGGAGAGGGCTGTGCTCGGGGTTTCTCTGCGTGATAAACTTAGAAATAAGTATATCCGCAGTGGAACCAGAGTAACCGACATAGTCCAACAGATTGGTAGGCAGATTAGAACTGGCAGTGGGCCGGCCATATAGTTCGAAGAACCGCCAACCGATGGGGAAGAAAGGTTCTTGAGTGGCAGCCTCTTACCGGTAGGTGAAGTGTATGGCGACCTCCCACGAGATGGAGTGACAACTTGGTAAGGTATGCAGGAAGTCGATGGATGCAGGTGGCTCGGGACCGTGCTTTGTGGCATTCCTTGGGGGAGCCCTATGTTCAGCAGTGGACTTATGAAAGGCTGTAATGATGATGATGACCAAGAATAGGGTTAACATACGAAGTAATAAAATAACGTTTCCTAAGTATTAATCAGATTTATGGTTTACAATTTTTAATTTCATACGGTCAAAACCACCGTAAAAAACAGTTTAAAACAGGTAAAATAAAAATGATTCGGCCCAAAGAACATAAGAACGTATCACAACAGTTACTTTTTGTGGAATGGATTCTATTTTTGTAGTAACGTCCAATTTATTACGATTTCCAATAATCTGACTTAAACTCGAACCATAGCTGATGTAATTGTTATCTACTATATGTAAGTACACTAACGGTTTTACTTATAATCTTATTCCTATCTCTTTCTATTGTCATTCAAACGCAACATTGAACTGCTATTTTATGCTGGTAGTTAGTGATAGCGTCGTCCTTCCCCAATCAAGCCTACCCATTTGTGCCCTATTACGTTTAAAACTATTACTATATTATCTACTACTATTATCTAACTACCATAATCGATGACATAATGAAAGTGTTATATTATCAAATCAATCTATAAAAATTATGAATGAATTAAATACAAATAGATATAATAACGACACCAGTCAGTGAATGCAGTTCAAATTCCTCGGTTTATTACTACTAATAACGGTTATTACTTCGAGCTGAATGCTGCAGCAATGATTCGAATGGTTATGTCCTAAATGTAGATAGTACTTATCGTAAATTTTAAATATAGTCGTACTTAGAGTTTTTAAAAATGTTAAAATCCAATAAATATACAGGGTAGATCCATGTTACAGGTATATTATGGTTGTAGCATTAACGGTTCGGCACGGCTAGCGTTAAATAGTAGTTTAATGTTCTTGTTTCATATAGTGAGTTTAAAGAATCGGAGACCTGAGACAAGGCATTTCATCTAAGTCCTCATGCGCGACAACGCATAGATAAATATAGATGCGAGAGAGAGAGAGAGAGAGAGAGAGAGAGAGAGAGCGAGGATAAAAGTAGATGTCTATGGGCCACAGCATCCAGTTACTATTAGGTGAACTGTGTGTTCATTTATCTTCCTTATTCTATAAAGTAAAATCAGTAAATAAACGTCATTAAATACATAAGGCTAACGGTAAACACTGCAGTAAAATTTAATCTTTAATTATCTGTTTAATGTACATCCATTCAAAAATCGGAGAATCTCATATTTAAATTAAAACCTTTCCCTTATTTAAAACGGGCTCCCACAATAACAGTACACAATTAAAAATTGTTTATTTTGTCGCTGACCCGAAGTAATTACACGCGACATAAACAAAATGTTTGGAATCACGCCTCACGTGAATTTAGAATTAGGCCTACAATACAGTGTGCGAAGCAGATAACGAACTAACCGTATTGTAAATAATTCGGATCACGCACAAGCATTTCATCTAATTTGTTACCGTGCTCGATATTAATCCGTAGTTTGAGATGTATTGCAATATAGAATAAGTACCTAAATATAAAATATTTTCCAATCTCCTTGTGTGTTGTCTATTGAAGTTTTAATTAAAATCCCTACGTCGTAAACTAAGCTGAGTTTCGTAGTGACCGCATCGAATTGTACTCATTCCTTACCACGTAATGCGTACACGTACAAGATTCTATATATGTTAAGTTAAGCCAATGTTTTATGTATGTATTCTGTTACAAGGCCTCCGCTTAGTTGATATTTTAGCATTTTTATAACAAATGAATAAGGTTTTGTATAGTTTTGGGTGGGTAAAGTACAAAGTTCTTACGCTTATATCTATTATATTTGCCAGGCCTTATGTTTACATACACATTACATACACAAACACTCATCTGGATCTCTTCTGAGCTGCCCGACATTCACCGGTCCTGACGTACCTTTTTTAATCCACAGGTAACATATAGAAAACTGCTGAAACTGAAGGATCAAGGAGATGAGATTTTTATCTATTGACGATAGCGGAATGGGTATGTAATGTGAACTGTCAAAGCGTTATTGCTTGCGTTGACGGGAAAGTTGACCGTGACTAGTGGTCATTACGGGTGTAGTTCACAAAAGGTTGCTCGCTTCAAGTTATGGAGTGCTTGCCAGTAAGAAAAATTTTATTAAGTAAAAGGAAATGTTTTCCTTCCAAATTGCACTACTTTTAGTCATACAAATTATAACAAAAATTTTTATCAAAAAAACAATATCATCCTACGGAAAAATTAAGAATTAATGATGACAAACATTATCGATTAAGAATGATGATGGAGATTCGTTGTCTACTATAATGTGTAAATTTGGAATGCCTTTTACTGGTAACATAAAAGGAAAAAATACTTTTCTTGTTTAATTGAAGTAATAAACAGTTTTATAGTCCTGATGGTAAGTGGTAATGCAGTCCATGGACAACTGCAGCAAATTTCGAACAAAGAAGCCGAGGACAGAAGCGAGCGACAACTACTAGACCAATGAGGCAGGCCACTGCAATAACACAATAATAACCGCTGAAAATGCTTTCAAAATTGAAAACGGTCCTGTTATAAATGTATTAAATAATAACAACTGTTTGTATGGTATACAATACACATACATATTTTTATACGTGGTAGAGCCATGCTGTAGCTATGGACCACGCTCTCACAGAATACCAGCGTAAAATAGCAGTTTGACACTGCTGTGTTTCGTATGGTGAGTGTAGAGAACCATAGACCTATTTTACTGGAAAAGAGACATTCCATCTTAGTCCTCACGGATGACGACGCATCTGCATTTTGATTCTTTATTGAGTATAAATGTAGATGTCTATGGTTCACAGCAACCACTTACCATCAGGTGGACTGTGTGCTAGTGTGTCACCCTATCCTATACAAAAAAACAGTCATTTCTTATGTCTCATCAAATAAAATATCAAGTTCAATTAAGAATCGACAACCGCAAGTACATATATAGTAATAACAAATATAAAACAAATGTACAGCTTGAAGGCGCAGTGACTTGACATTGAGTTGCGGCGCTGAGGGACACAGATTCAATTCCGCACGGACAAGTATTTGTATTGCCTAAAAATAAATGTTCCGGGTCTGGATATTTATTCTTGTACAATTTATGTTCATAAACTGCCTCTACGATACAGTAAAAAATCCTAGAGTGGGGTTAAAGTTTCTTAAAAGAAAATGAAATAAATAAAAAATTTAAAAATGACAAATTTCATTTCATGTTGTTATGAAAGCCATTACATTAGATAAGTTATTGGTTGAGTGCGTGTCTCGGTATAAACTTCAAGTAAAGATGTTGTCCGGGCATAAGGAACATTCCTTTCTTTTCGGGTTCAGTTTCAGAAGGCAAAGGAGCATTCGGCTTTGGACGGAGCTCAAAATTAAATACGATCGCTGCCAGAGCAGAGCGTAAATTTTGTTCGGCAAAGCGACGCCCTGAAATAAAAAAGGTCTCAACATGATTTCTTACATTTACATGAATGCTACACATTGAATGAATCTAATATTACGGATTTATCCCGTTTGATTCGAAACCCGACCCGCACGTTATAGCACCCATAGTTAGAGGAGAGATTAATAAATTGAGATTTACAACTAACCGTCAATACTGTTCTTGATGGTCATACTGCCAAAGATGATAAAGCGCACATAGAACTTTCATATTATTGAAAAGGTTTACGAACATATAACCATATTTACGCTGATGAATAGGCAGGCAATTCAGCTGAGTACGAAAGGAAGATATGTGTATGATACAATATTAAGGGGACGATCAAATATTTTAAGACTTTATTGAGACAGCTCTGAGCAAACCTTATCAACATAGTAATCGGCAGAATGACAATTTAGACAAGTAATATTTTTGCAGCGATTTGATAAAAAAATCATATAACAAAAAACATGTAAAGTTGCAGTGGCTTTGCGACCTAACACTTGATTATGTTTCTTCTATGAAGGCAGCTATCAAGATACAGATCGAGAGAGAAAGAGTATAGGATGGCATTGTTAAATAACGTATAATTGTAAAATAATAGGTGTAGTAAGAAGTGACAGATAGACATGAAACAAGAGACGCACAGCAGCATCTTCCTGATGACAACGCCAAAATAATAAAAAACTGCAGTTACAGATTGATTTGGAGAGGAAGAAGGCTTTCCCCTCCGGATGCTATCTACTTATAGATTAAAATTATAAATGTATTATTTTGACTTACCTATGCAATGTCTTGGTCCTTCACCAAACGGCAAATAACACATAGCATTTATTTGTTTTTCATTCTCTGGTAAGAAGCGATCGGGATCAAAAATTTCTGGTTTAGGAAAAATTCGGGATCGTAATGCATGCCAATACCATTGACACATATTGGTGTTCCGGCAGTGATGGTAAGGTTTTCATCAATTTGGTAATCCTTGGATGCGATTCTATCTGACCACCCCATTGGTGCGTACTTTCTTAATGTTTCTGAAACGTTATATCAAGATATAAGTTTGGCTTTGTTACATTTATTATAATTATTGTATTAATTATAACTCATGAGATGTCCATCACTGAATAAAGTATTTTCTAAAAACTGCCACACAAAACCATCGTGATCAATTTGCATTCATTTTCTTCTTTCATGCCATATCAAGTGCTCATTTTGCGAGGAGTTGCTCTAAATTGCTCTTGCCTATAGGAGTTTGTTATTTAAGAACCATTTTTCTTTTTTATAGAATAAGGGTGACAAACGAGCACAGAGTCCACCTGATGGTAAGTGGTTGCTGTGGCCCATAGACATCTACATCTATCATAGTTTGCGAATTAAAATGCAGATACGTTGTCAGCCGTAAGGACTAAGATAGAATGCGTCTTTCCCAGTAAAATTGGTCTCCGGTTCTCTACACTCTCAACATACGAGACACTGCAGCATTAAGCTGCTATTTTACGCTGGTATTCTGTGAGAGCGTGATCCTTCCCCGGTCGAGCGGACCCATTCGTGTTACAACTATACCAGAAATATAGCTGCAGCATGGCTCTACCACGTGTAAAGTAACGCCAATATTACGTATTATTATAATAAACATAACGCAGCTAAGACGTAATTTCCAATGAAAAGCGATTTAGGCAGATATTACTCCTCATCTGAGAGAGTGATGAGTTCAGCAGTGCCTTTAAGCATTCTTTAGGTTGTGCCGGTTACTTTGTTTTAACTTTGCCAGTAGTACTAGTTACTCGACTCCATCGAGTCAGTAATTCATTCTTGGGGCGATATATACGCTTTTACAACAAAATTCCAGAAAATATACAAATTTGACCTGCTCAAAGTTCTAAAACTTTACTAAACTATATTTGTATAAAAAGGGTTATTATAATATTGAGGAATTTATGTATATATATATATATATATATATATATATATATATACTTTTTGTTGTTAATTGTGTAACATACATGATTGTAAGCTGTTATTTTAAAAAAAAGTCCCGCTGGGTTTCTATCTATTTCTTCCCAGGACAGAGGTAATTAAACAAAAGAGTGACTTTCATTAAGTATTATTTATAAGCTATACTGAATAAAAAAGTTTTTTTGGTTATAAACATGAAGTATTATGGTCACAAATAAACATCTAATATATCTCTCAATATTTTTATCGACAGTATATTTCGTTAATGGGACGAACCACGAACTTAAAAGTCGTGAGTTGGAACCCGCCATTCGACTACTGTAGTGAACGACTCATAACCTAAGCACCTTATGCTTACTTGGTGCGATTAACGGAAAACGAGGCGCGGGGAGCAGCGGCGCGAGTTGCCTCGGGTGTGCAAACCAGCGGAGTATCTGAGACCGGACAATTTTGCAAGTTCATGCTGCATTACAGTTTTTTTTTAATAAATTTTTTCTATTTAGGATGTGGTTAAACTTTGTTTTACTTTTATTCTTTAAATGTATTAAACGTGTTTTCTAAGATGAAATCATTCTCATGAAATCATTCTCATTCAAATGAGTTTTTAAATTACTGATGACAACTTTTTATAGGACTCGCTCATAATTGACATTTTTTATTATTTACTGACATGGTACATAATATTGTTTAATTTATAATTTTCTTTATTTTTAATAATAATATTTATTTTTAATTATATTTTTTTTAAATTGTACTTTTGATAACATTAGGATATGATTGGATGGATTGATTCTTGTCGTTAATTTAATGATTTAATAATGATTGATGTCGATGTGTTAATTTTGTATAATTTTATAAATTCTAAGAATAAATAAATTTGCATGTCTCCATTAGGGACTTAGTATGTAAACATAGTATTTAACAATATCTCATGTAACATATATATACTAAAAAGCAAATAATTAAATAAATTCATCATCTTCATTTTTAAGATGAAATTAAAATATAGACAACTACGCACCTTTTATCACACAGTTTAAATATACCAGTTCAGATAAAAGTTTTGCATTAAATTCAGTGTTTCCACTATTCCTTTCCGCATCTTTAAGCTCCTTGTACAGTTTTTCCTGAAAGAAGATTTATTATAATTACCTCTCTCTTCTTCTTTCGACTATAAGGATTTGTTGCGAGAAGAAGGCTTTTCAATAAATCCAAGCCAATAGAGTCTATAAAAGTACACTGCTGTAAATAAGAAAATAGGTCTCCCACATAGATTGCTTCATAAGGTTTATATTTACTACTAGCTGTTCCCCGCAACTTCGCCCGCGTGTTATTTAGGGTTTTAATATTTTTGCGCGGAACCCTATTTTTTTTTCTAAAACAAAAGTAGCTTAAGTTACTCCCTATCTGCTACAGCTATCGGCAATCCCGTCAAAATCGGTCCAGCCGTTTCCGACGGTCCGCCGGTCCGAACAAACAGACAGACAGACAGACGGGCAAACAGACAGACAGACAGACAGACAGACAGACAAAAACTTTAAAAATTGTATTTTTGTTATTATTACCGTATATACTTTCATATGCATTTAGTAAAAAGCTGTAATTTTGACATTAAAAACAGACACTTCAAATTTATTTATTTGTATAAATATATAGATATTTGATACGTTTGTGAATCGGCTTGTAAGCCGCAGTTTTTTTACTTTTAATTTTATTCAGGAAAAAACTGCTGCCAATATCTTGGTTTGTTTCCCTCTGTCGCCCTTTGCTTCGGGTAGTGGTTATTTCCCATAGACAATATATACAAATAAATAAAATTGAAGTGTCTGTTTGTAATGTCAAAATATTAGCTTTTTATTAAATTAATATGAAAGTATATACGGTACTTATAACAAAAACACAATTTTTAAAATTTTTGTCTGTCTGTCTTATTGTTCCTGCTAATCTCCGAAACGGCTGGACCGATTTCGACGGGACTTTCACTGGCATATCTGCCTGCTGATGTTATAAGGAGTAACTTAGGCTACTTATATTTTAGAAAAAGAATTAGGGTTCCGCGCAACATAATAAAAACCCTAAATTACACGCGGGCGATGTCGCGGAGAATAGCTAGTTTATAATAATTTTCATAATTTACATGCGCTCTATCGAAAACCTAAGTATTAAAAGAATCATTATTAGGTTCGTAAAATCACTAGTATGTAGGTGTAATATTGTTTTGTAGGGTTTGAAAGTGGTTCCAAATGGTTCGTGTGTGATTTCACCGCATGCGCGCCGGTGCGTCGTCCTTTTCTTTATCGAAGTCTAGATTAGACCCAAAGTAATATAACTAGAAACATAAAAAGCTGAAAAAAAGTTTCAATGCAATCGAAGTCGGTGGCACTTCTAGTTTGGTATAAATTTATAGGCTAATATAACACAATAAGCATCGTAGTACTGGTTTTAAATCAAAAATATAGCCATTTTTACATGATAGAGCTCTGTTGCTGCTATAATAATAATAATAATAATAATAATAATATAAGGCGTAGGGAAGTGACGACCCCATCGCCCGCTGACGTAACGGTTATGTGACAAAACTGCTACGTCAGCGCAGTCAGTCAGCACCTTGCCAAGAGGTGTTAGCGCCGTGCCTCGGCAAAATTGGAGGTGCAAAGGCCCGATTGTGCACATGGCCTCACCATGAAACGGTGCCGGGTCTGGGCGTCTCCCGTTAACTGACGCCCAAGTAATGGATGATGGAACTAAGAAATACGCGCAAAGGGCCGCTGCCTGGAGGTCGCCAGGGCGCGTCTGGAGCTGGCGCTGGACGCGGCAGCATGCGAACCGCCAGTCGACCGCGAGGTGCTGCACGATCACCCAGCAGCCCCTCGCATCCATCATCCCCACCAGCTGGCTTGGTGTTGGCAGGGTCTTCGTTGGCCCAGCAATCAGCACCCGCCACTGGTGGAGTACGCCGCATGCGTTGGTCAATGCAAATGAATAAAAATGCATTGCGGGCGTATTTTGGGGCGAAAGGGAGAGAAATTGGAGGTTTTGGGTATCGGGCTAGGATGCACCGACTATTTGCTGAGCTGGAGCCATCTATTACCGTTACCGAGCAAAATCTGGCAGACCGAGTTCGGTACATCATGCGCTCAAAAATATTTGATGACGCCGAACTCGAACGGCTACGACGTGAGGCTATTCCTTTGTCGAATGAAAATGCTACGACAGGAGATGCGGCTCTACGAGTTGCAGAGCAACCCGCACATGTAGATGCCGCCGTTGATCTCCTTGTAGTTGACTCAGGCGACGATGGAATAGTCGCCCCAGAACTAGAGCAAATGAGGAGCATAGTGGAAGAGGCGATTAGGGAAACGCGCAGTACGCCTCTCGAGAATCGACCGCGACTTCCCCGTATACCCCTAAGCAAGCGGAATCGGGCTGTCGTGAGGGCTCTCAACCCAATGCTGGTGACCTATTTGGAAGCCAGCCGGGACCTTTGCGAGACGGACTCAATTCTTTTTGGCGCCGCACTGGCAGTTTGCCGTATTATTGGCGCCAAACTTCCCAAGGCTGGACGCGCTACTAGACAAAGTAGCGCCATCCCAGCCTGGAGAAGAAGAATTGAGGACCGTATCGCAAAGGCAAGGGCCCTCATCGGCAGGCTGATAAGCTTCAGGTCGGGCAATAATAGGCCGAGAATTGTGCGCACCGTCAGGATGGCGTTTGCTGGGACAAACATCAGTTTGTCCCAGCCGGATATAACGCAAAAACTGACGGAGCGCATAGACAACCTGAAGCAGAGAATCGCTGCTTGGGGGAAGCGGATTCGGCGATATACCGAGAGGTCAACACGGTTCAACCAGAATCGTCTCTTCCAGAGTGATCAGAAGAGGCTCTATGAATCATTGGAGCGACCAATGGTACGTGGAACGGGCCCAGCACCGAATCAGGCCGACACTATCGCATTCTGGCGCGGCCTGTGGTCAGAGC